CGAGGGTCGATCTGGTACGTAAAAAAGCAGAAGGGTAAGATGGGAACTCCAGGACCAAATACATGTATAAAGTTTAGAAAAGAATATCAAATAGCCAAAATGGCATAGAAAATGAGGATCTTTTGTTCTGAGTCCCAAATTTGCGAGGTTGTTCTTTCGGATGGCAGAATTGCGAAACCCATTCTTTGGAGTCCCAAATATCCAATTTTCTCAAATTAGGAAGATGGTTTTGTTACGAAATCATCCGTTGAAATTTATAATCATTAGATCAACTATATATCTAACGGTTACATGATGATCTAACGGTTACAAACATCGATAGAATGGTTCTGTAAAAGAACCGTAGAGCATTTCCCATTTAATTAGAGTAATTTAGGTAAATTGTGATGAAAAAATAGGTGGTAGAAGTATACTTCATAATTCCATGACAATTGACATCAGAACGGAAAGGTGAGATTTTCTTCTGTGACACAGATTAGGGTGAGATATTAAGATAGATTTATGTGACACAGATTAGGGTGCGATTGAATATAGATTTGATTTTTATTTTTTGTTAATCATAGTTAATTTAAATAATGTGATATGATTAGTTGTTAATGATATTTTAAGTTTATATTAAAATAATCCTTAAAATAAAAGAGAACATAAATGAAATTAAAACTTAAACTCTCAGCTGTATTATAACTAGTGTTTTTCTCCCATGAAGACATCAAATCTGGTTAAGACAGTCTGCACATCAAAAGAAAAAAAGAAAATATTCAAGATCATTCAGGACCGGCAACAGGCACTTTCACATAAGCCGAACTCCGCCAGAATCTCCTTGCTAAAATGCATTTCCCTCCATACCTTTGCTGCAAGTAAATCAGAACAACCAATAGAGAAGCCCCAACAGATATGATAATATCCCATGCAGTCGAATAGTAGTCCAGTCCAGGGTTTGCGTAAATGTAATCAAACGACCAAGCAAGAGTATGAGACCTGTAAAGGTCGTACACATGTGGAAGCAAACGAACAAGACTGGTCCCGACATAAAAGGAAGGGACAAGAGCCTTCTCCTTTGTGTCAAAAAATATGTTGAACACAACCTGAGGCAGCAAAAAGCCATCCAATATCAACTCACCATACGATTTCAAGTCGCCCCATAAGGATTGTGGCTGCTTCACCATATAATGCAGACCTACAAACAGTGGCCTTCTGCTCGGCTTTCTTGACTGGTGGACAAGCCACGCAATCAAGCCGCCACCAATATATAAAGGTGCCAAAAGATATAAAACTTTCTTTTCATGTGTCCATGGATTTTTCTGGCTTTCGTCGGCTGACCTTGCGGACCAAGTCATTTGGAGAAGTCGAAATTCCAGTAAGAAGGCTACCATGGTAATTATCCTCACTAGTACCTCGTTAACTTCAACCCACACGTCCTCACTTGAGTAAAAATCGTAACTCTTGCGGTCCTTCGTGAAGACAGCTTCAAAGCTCAACAACAGAGGGGCAAGATGTCCTAGAGTGAGAACAACAAGCATGACTACTGAAACAAAGGGTAGCACATTTGCATGCCTTTTAACATGCACTATCTGCAGACCCACAAAAATGCACAAAAGTGTGTTGGAAACTACGATCATGGTGATCTCCATATCCATTCTCCATATGGAATCTTTGGGTACCAAAAACGAGAAAACTTCAAGAGGTTCGAAGTAAAGATGGTCAGCTTTATCTCGTGTGCTTTTAATATTTCCTTTCACACCTTGTCCACTGTTTCCATTCCTGGGGAATACCACAAGTCAATCAGAATTTCACAATCCAGGGACGACTTCCCCCTTACTCTCACTTTAGGTGGCACAACACTCATACACCTGATCATGCAAAGGTGCCCATTTTCAGGGTCATAACTTCCTTCTGCCAAGATTTCAATCGATCTGATTTGTTTGTGCTCATTGCTGATCTTGAAATAATGCTCGGCCCTGAAGGTTAGAGTATAGCTTATATTAACCCTATGACCAGGGTTTTGTTGTTCCATTCCGTCCACGCCGCGAAAACTATAAAGATGACTGCCCACGTAAACAGGGGATGAGTAACCAAAAAGATCAGGCACTTTCTTACTCCTGACAATCACGTTAAATTGCATATTAGAAGATGTTGCTTTAGGGTAAATTTTTCTCCCTGTTTTCTGAATTGTCTTGTTTGCACAGGATCTCTTGGTATTCTCAATCTCCGTGTACTCGTATCTCAAACCAGGCGGTCTTATATTCAAATTACCTAAGCTCATCAGCGTCACCCGTCCAAAATAGCCCGTCTCGTTAACACTTCTACTGCTCCAAAGTTCCCCAACTACATGGCTCCTTTCTCTCAATGTCCACCGAGCTGGAAATCTCAAACTTAGTCTGATCAAACACTCCCCTACAAAACCCTCATCCCAATCACTAAAAATTCGGCAGCCAACCATGTTAAGCCTCTTTTGTTTCGGGTCCCATTTCCCTTCACTAACCAAGGTCGCATTTGGTTCCAGTAGCATATAATATCTGCTAACACCGAAATCTCCAAACTTCAACAACGTCCTCACTCGACCATCATTCAAACACTCGATTACATCCACATACATCACGCTTGGCATGAAACTGTTATTTCCTCTCCCAAGGAAATTGCAGTTCACGCCACTGCAGGCATTTTCATACTCCAATTCGAACTTCCCTTTTCCTGCTAATGATACGTAAGAGCATGGCTTCTGCCACAGATCCTTCACTCCTAAAGAGACACTTGAAGTATCATTCAACAACGAGAAACCATTAGTTTCGATTTCTTTATCAATTAACTCATAGTTATAATTCCTCGTGTTCACACCAAGTATCGATATTGATCCTGGTTTAGAAACACTTTCGGTGTCAGTCCAGCCGAACATGTGCACAAACAAACAAACAAAAGTTGGCAAACAAATAATAAACCTTGGTTGATGTGCCAATTATGTCATATGGAGCAACTTTATGTGGTACAGGTTTCATGTGAAATTTTCACTATAAATAGAGAGCAACGGGAAGAGCTGAAGACGTACCAAGGAGCAGAAAGAAAAAGAGAGAAGAAATAACATCTTGTGAGTGTTATTTTTCAGTGAGATAAAAATAGAGTGTTTGAGTAAATCCTGTGAGTGTGAGAAAAATACACCGGGTTGGGTATCAACTCTATTACTCTTTGTTTAGGAGTGGGGTTCTCACTGGGTCACTATATTTTACATTTTTAGTGTAAGGGAGTGTGAAAAGATATTATAATTATCTTAAAAATATAGTGGAATTGTTCGGAGGTTGTCCCGTGGTTTTTTCCTCTATTTGGAGGTTTTTCCACGTTAAATCTTGGTGTCTTATTTCTTGCATATTTTATTTATTTGGGATATTCATTAGTATGCTCTGTGGTCGCAGTTTAATCTGAACTTCCACATCAGAAAAGAATTATTCCGGTATTATTGCAAGAGATTTTTCTTTTGTCATTCTTGAGTTGCTGGGATTGAGATTATTGTTTACCATTTTACCTTGATATTTTAATTTACATCTTCCGCATTGCGCATCTGAGCCCAACAAGTGGTATCAGAGCTCACGTTGGGCTCTGTATTGACCCGGGTAAATTAAATGAAGGAGAACGTGGGTACCATGGTGAAGCTCACAGCAACAAATTACTCCATTTGGAAGCCAAAAAATGGAGGACATATTTCTACAAAGATCTGTACGATCCTATAGAAAAGGGAAACAACAAGCCAGATGACATGAAGGATGACGATTGGAAGAAATTACACAGGAAGGCTGTCAGTTTAATCCGACAGTGGGTGGATATCAGCATATTCCACCATGTTGCCACAGAGTCGAAAGCCCATACTCTGTGGAACAAAATTGAACAGATGTACCAGAGGAAGACTGCACAAAATAAAGCTTTCGTCATTAGAAAGCTTGTAAATCTAAAATATCGGGATGGAAGATCAGTTGCAGAACACTTGAATGTGTTTCAAGACATGGTGAACCAACTTGTTACCATGGAGATGAAACTTGATGAAGAGCTGCAGGCGTTGTTACTTTTGAGTTCTTTACCGGATAGCTGGGAGACTCTGGTGGTCTCGTTGAGCAACTCTGCCCCTGAGGGAAAACTGACTTTGACCCAAGTCAAAGACAGTATGTTTAATGAAGAAACAAGGAGAAAAGACTCAGGGGCAAGCAGCTCCCAAGCCCTGGTCACAGAAACCAGGGGGAGAAGTAAAAGCAGAGGCCGGGATAACAAATCCAGAGATAAATCACAATCTCAACCCAGGAGAAAATTCAAGTGTTATCACTGCGGTGAAGAAGGGCATATCAAAAGAAACTGCAAAGCCTGGAAGAACAGAGGTTGGAGGAACAACAAATCAGAGAATGGTGAAAATACCGCAACCCCTGTGATCAATGGGGAAGTGGTGTTGCTCTCTGTTGAAGAAGAAGAGTGTCACGTTGCAGATTCATGTGTTGAATGGGTCATTGACTCAGCAGCATCATACCATGCAACCTCTCACAAGGAATTCTTTTCTCTATACAAAGAAGGAGACTTTGGTAGAGTAAAGATGGGCAACAACAGCATTGCAAATATTGTGGGAGTTGGTGATGTGTGCATTCAAACTGATATTGGGTGCACAATAACACTGAAGGACGTACGACATATACCAGACTTACGTCTGAATCTGATCTCTGTGCATGCATTGGATCTAGCAGGCTATACTAACAGTTTTGGTAACGGCACGTGGAGGCTTACCAAAGGATTGTTGTTAGTTGCTAGAGGTACAGTGAGATCGACACTGTACAGAACTCAAGTGAAGCTGATCAAGGGTGGATTGAATGCAGTCGAAGATGATGCTTTGCAAAATTTGTGGCACAAAAGACTGGCTCACATTGGTGAAAAAGGATTACAAATTTTGGCAAGAAAGTCCCTCATCCCATTTGCCAAAGATTCAAAACTGAATCCTTGTGATTATTGTCTCTTTGGGAAGCATCATAGAGTGTCTTTCAGCAAAACCTCGAAGCTGAAAGAGAATGTGTTGGAGATGGTGTATTCTGATGTATGTGGACCCATGGAAGTGGAGAGTCTCGGTGGTAGAAGATATTTCGTGACGTTTATTGATGATGCCTCACGAAAATTGTGGGTGTATTTCTTGAGAACGAAGGGTGAAGTGTTTCAGTATTTCAAAAGGTTTCATGCTATGGTGGAGAGACAGACTGGTAAACCTTTGAAGTGTCTTCGCTCAGATAATGGGGGGGAGTATACTTCTTATGAATTCAAGAATTATTGTGCTGAGCATGGCATCAGGCATGAGAAGACTGTACCTGGAACCCCACAACATAATGGTGTGGCTGAAAGAATCAACATAACCATTATGGAGAAAGTGAGGTGTATGTTAAGAATGGCTAAACTACCTAAGCAATTCTGGGTTGAAGCTGTTCTAACGGCGTGCTACCTGATCAACCGATCTCCATCTGTTCCTTTGGGCTTTGATATCCCCGAGAGAGTATGGTCCGGACATGATGTTAAATACTCTCATTTAAAGGTGTTTGGATGCAAAGCTTTTGCTCACGTAAGCAAGGAACAGAGACGAAAACTTGACGATAAGGCCATTCCTTGTATATTTCTGGGCTATGGAGATGAGGAATTTGGCTACAGGTTATGGGATCCAGAAAATCGAAAAATTATCAGAAGCAGAGATGTAGTGTTCCATGAGCAAGAAACTATGTCTGATTATGCTTCACCAGAAATCAGAGAACCAAGTGGTAATGTGGATCTTTCACCTGTCAAACCTCCTGGAGATGCCACAGCAGGGGGAGAGTGTGATGGAGAACTCAGGGTTGATGATGAGCCAGCAATAAAAGATGGTGATGGTGAAGGTGTTGAGCAGGAAAACCTCGAAGCTCCACCTCAGCTCAGGAGATCAAGTCGAGTGATCCAACCTTCTACGAGATACCCTAGTTCCACGTATATTACCATCACTGAAGAAGAGGAGCCAGAAAGCTTTGAAGAAGTACAGACTCATAAGGATAAATCCCGGTGGATGAAAGCTATGCAAGAAGAAATGGATTCACTGGTGAAAAATGAAACTTATGAGCTTGTGAAGCTTTCGGAAGGCAGAAAAGCCTTGAAGAATAAATGGGTGTTCAAGCTTAAGAAAGATGGTGACAAGCTGTTGAAGTACAAGGCTCGCTTAGTCGTGAAAGGATTTGGACAAAAGCGAGGAATAGATTTTGACGAGATATTCTCTCCGGTTGTAAAGATGAGCTCTATTCGAGCAGTACTCGGATTGGTGGCTAGCTTGGATCTGGAGCTTGAACAACTAGATGTGAAGACTGCATTTCTTCATGGAGACCTAGATGAAGAAATCTACATGGAGCAACCAGAAGGATTTGAGAAGACCGGAAATGAGCACATGGTTTGCAGATTGAAGAAGAGTTTGTATGGATTGAAACAAGCTCCTAGACAGTGGTATAAAAAGTTTGACTCGTTTATGGCGAGCAATGGATATACCAAGACTGATGCAGATCATTGTGTGTTCGTTAAGAAATTTCCAGGTGATAAAATCATTATTCTTCTGTTATATGTAGATGATATGTTGATAGTGGGACATGATATGAAGTTGATTGGTGATCTGAAGAAGTATTTAGCAAAGTCCTTTGAAATGAAGGATCTGGGCCCTGCGAAACAAATTTTGGGCATGCAGATCAAGCGAGACCGAAAATCCAAGAGGTTATGGTTATCACAAGAACGGTATGTGAATCGGATTCTGGAGAGATTCAACATGAAATCGGGTAAGCCGGTCAATACACCGTTGGCTAATCACTTCAAACTCAGTAAACGAAGTTTTCCTATGAGTCAAGAAGAAAAAGAAACTATGGCAGGTGTTCCATACTCCTCAGCAGTCGGGAGTTTGATGTATGCCATGGTCTGTACTAGACCAGATATCGCTCACGCGGTTGGAGTTGTTAGCAGGTATCTTTCCAGTCCTGGAAAGGATCATTGGGAAGCTGTGAAGTGGATCTTGAGGTACCTAAAAGGCAGTGCAAATAAGTCCTTGAGCTTTGGAAAAGGAAACTCAGTTCTTGAAGGTTATACAGATGCGGATATGGCAGGTGACCTGGATAGTAGAAAATCTACTTCAGGGTTTGTGTTTACATTTGCAGGGGGAGCTGTATATTGGCAATCTAAATTGCAGAAATCTGTTGCCTTGTCGACTACTGAAGCAGAGTATATTGCAATGACAGAAGCAGGAAAAGAAATGCTTTGGTTGAAGAGGTTTCTTCAGCAATTGGGAATGAAGCAGGAAAGGAACGATATCCATTGTGATAGTCAGAGCGCATTGGATTTAAGTAAGAATGCGATGTACCACTCTCGCACGAAGCACATTGATGTCAGATATCATTGGCTACGTCAAGTGGTGGAAGAACAACAGTTCAGGTTGGAAAAGATTCACACTGACAAGAACCCTGCTGGCATGATGACGAAAGTTGTAACAGGTGGAAAGCTTCAGCTTTGTGCCGAGTTGATCGGCATGGAATGCATGTGAGATTTGCAGAATATTATTTTTTGGCTGGAGGGGGAGAATTGTAAGTCCAGCCAACATGTGCACAAACAAACAAACAAAAGTTGGCAAACAAATAATAAACCTTGGTTGATGTGCCAATTATGTCATATGGAGCAACTTTATGTGGTGCAGGTTTCATGTGAAAATTTCACTATAAATAGAGAGCAACGGGAAGAGCTGAAGACGCACCAAGGAGCAGAAAGAAAAAGAGAGAAGAAATAACATCTTGTGAGTGTTATTTTTCAGTGAGATAAAAATAGAGTGTTTGAGTAAATCCTGTGAGTGTGAGAAAAATATACCGGGTTGGGTATCAACTCTATTACTCTTTGTTTAGGAGTGGGGTTCTCACTGGGTCACTATATTTTACATTTCTAGTGTAAGGGAGTGTGAAAAGATATTGTAATTATCTTAAAAATATAGTAGAATTGTTCGGAGGTTGTCCCGTGGTTTTTTCCTCTATTTGGAGGTTTTTCCACGTTAAATCTTGGTGTCTTATTTCCTGCATATTTTATTTATTTGGGATATTCTTAGTATGCTCTGTGGTCGCAGTTTAATCTGAACTTCCACATCAGAAAAGAATTATTCCGGTATTATTGCAAGAGATTTTTCTTTTGTCATTCTTGAGTTGCTGGGATTGGGATTATTGTTTACCATTTTACCTTGATATTTTAATTTACATCTTCCGCATTGCGCATCTGAGCCCAACATTTGGAACTAGCATCCAAAATCTCCAGCGTCCCATTAACCAGACTGGTGAATATACTAGAAGAATTCAAATAATCAAGCTTCAAAACAACATGATTAGAATCTTGTTTACCGGACCCGATCATGCAGAACTTCCCAAAGCTCCAATCCCAAAACCCGCTCATGTACTGCAGGCCGCCCGACGTCAACGGAATCTTAGGCGGCCGAACATGCACTAGACGCAGTCCCCGGCGCGAGAGATGAGAAAGACCCCGCACACGTATCAGCGTCATCACAGCGTCGATCTTGAGGATGGTATCCTTCTCGGTTCTATAAGCTTTCTTAGTGACGAAGGAGAGGGACCTCTGGACCGCACAAACATCCTGGTCCGTAATGTTGACGCCGCAGCCAACATAGGCATTATGAAGGGCGAAAAAGTCGCGGTCGACGAATGGAGGACTAGAGTCCGGAAGCAAAGGCGTGTCTGGCACCACGACGCCGCAATGATCGGTGTACGAGATTCCTACGGCGCCAGCGCCGGCGAGGATTAGGAGGATAACAACCACCGTAGACGAGAACGCGGCGTATCGCGGGATGCATCTGGGTAATGTGACTGAGTAGTGTGATTTTGCGGTCGATTTTAGGGTCTGTGGAGGTGGAGATGAGAGGATCTCCATGGATGGGGTGAATCTGAGTTTTTTGATTTGCAGAGCCTATCCTAAAATGTGGAATTTAAATTATTAGAGTAATTTCGGTAAATTGTGATGACAAAATAGGTTGTAGAAATTATACAGTATACTTCCATAGTTCCATGACATCAGAACGGAAAGGTGAGATTTTATTCTGCGACACATATTAGGGTGAGATTGAATATAGATTTGATTTGATTTTGATTGATTTTTTTGTTAAATCATAGTTAATTTAAATAATATGGTTTGAGTAGGGCGTACCCCGTGCAATAGACGGACTGTATTTATTTTGGTAAAATTTATAATTGAAGACTATTAATCAGTAAGTTATAATACATAAAATATTTGTTATGTAATCGTAAAATGTTCATCATGAAAAAGTCATACATTATTAAAAACCTCTTTGTTTTTTACTGCAAAATTATTTTCCACTTGGTAACCGTTTGGTAAATAAGAATTGTATAGACACCTCATTCGTTCATATTTTGTTGATTTTCGGAATGTTTCCACCATGAAATAAAACTATAGTGAAAATATGTAATATTGTGATAGATACTAAAGATATGATTTATCTGGTGAAGTTTAATTTTATATAGAATATAAGAAAATTGTTACCTTAATGTTAAAGTGTGGATTTTGAGTATATTTTTCTTTTGTCAATCATTCTCCTTTTTTTATACCAAATTCATTCCAAAATTGAGAACAATTTTGTTTTGTTATGTTTTAACAGAGATTTAAAATTTTGGTTGTATCTTTTGTAAAACATGTTTATAAAAATAATTACGTTTAAAAAAACAACAACGATATTTTATCATTTGTAGATCAAAACTAACTAAGTGAATCAGATGACATGTAAATCACAGTTTTTAAATGAAAAACATGTTTCATAAAAAAAAGTGATACGAAAATGATTTAAAATGATAAAAAGAAAATTGTATATTATAAACAAAAAGATGTTTACATGATTAGTGGATTAATGAATTGAATATTGTGCCAATTTTGAAAAACATGTTACCACGATTGAAATGAAATCTTTAAAAAAAAATTTACTTTTAGTTAAGTTGCATATATTGCATAACTATATATGAAAAAAATAAAAAGATTAAAGTTCAGATAGACAATTTATTTATATGTATATAATAAAGTATACAGTCCAAATAATTAAATTTTACTTAGCATTTTTATTATTAACTAGTACAACGCCCGTGTATTACACGGGTGCTTGTTAATATTTTTCTTAAAATCGAAAATTAATTAAAAAAAAAAGTAGTTGAAAGTTTAAATACCTTTTATAAAAATATATGTATTATACATAATTAGTATGACACTTCTTATGTGTGCGGCTTACATATGTTATATTATATTTTTTTTTTTTAACTTACAATATATAACTACATTAAACATAAATATATCACTTGAGAAATAATTTTATTTTTCTAATGAATTTTAATAAATATTATTATTTTTTTATTATTTTAAATATAAATATAATTTATTTATTTCATATATACAATATGGATGTCAAATCGAAGATCATTAAAAGATGATTAATTTGATATATTATATATGTATAACCGATAAGAAATACAAAAGTTATCAACTTTTAAAATACATTTACAATTCAATAGTTAACTAAAGGAAACAAATCAAAAGTCATGGATATAATAGTCACTTAGTGCCTCACTATGTAAAATTACAAAGAATTAAAGGGTTATATTAGTACAAGTGATATTAAAATACCTAAGTTAGCTAAATAATATTTATGGAATGACCGAACCTAGATTATTAATTATTAATATATCAATATTATTTGTCCAAACCTAATTACGAAGCATGATTTTTCGCCAAGTAGGATTCCAAAGCACCAGAAGCAACCACGTAGGCTCAACGCATTCGGGAATTATATATAGGGGTGATGATTTATTATTAATATTGATACCGTGATTATTATAAAGTCATACTCTCGTTTTTACGGTAAATTTATGTTATATTAAAATGAATTGATAAGTCTAAAAAGAGATATGAATTGAATTAAAAAGATTGAATAGTGGTTAAATTATTTGATTCCATAATTATACTATTTTTAAAAAGGTAATCCATAATATTTGGTTCCATAATAATACTGCTTTTAAATACAATTGATTCCAAATAGCTGGATTTAGTGTTTAATCAAATATTATAGAATATCTTTTTAAAATAATAAATCCGGTGTTGTTAAGGGAAGTTAAAATTGATTATAATTAATATTTTGAGGTTTGTTTTAAGGAATTATGTAAAATTACTATAATCATGTAATGCATAATTGTGAGAAATGCTTACTATATTTTAGGGGTGTTCACGATCCGGTTTTAACCAAAAAAAACCGTCAATTCAGACCGCAGATCGGTTAAAAAAGACTTAAAAAAATCCGGTGATTAATTTTTTTATAAATCCGAAATAACCAGTCCGGTTAACGGATTACCTGCGACAAACCGCCGGTTTAACCGGATCGGACCGGTAAATATTAAAAAAGTATAACAAAAATATATATATACATTCAGTCATTCACTGTGGCCGACAAATATAATACATTCACTTTCAGTTTTTGATATTTTGTTGAACTCCGCTACTTCCCAACTCCCCAAACCAACGCAGAAAGAGGTCGCTGGAGGGCGACACCATCGGCCTCTGCGAGAAGAGGCATACTGAAATCGGCCCCTACGAGAA